TTTTTTAATATTGTGACGGTACTTTATGTCCAAAATGGAAGAAAAATGTGTCGATACCTTGTCAAAAAGTGTCGACATTTACATATCGGAACCAAGAATTATAATGTAATAGATAATTTTGTAATATAACCGGTATAAATATACCGGTTTTATGAGCGAATAGGTCTACAACCTATATCGACACTTTTTAATTTTGTGTCGGTACTTTATGTCTAGAATTATAATGTACTAGATAATTTTGTAATATAACCGGTATAAGTATACCGGTTTTATTAGCGAATAGGTCTACAACCTATGTCGACACTTTTTAATATTGTGTCGGTACTTTATGTCCAGAATGGAAGAAAAATGTGTCGATACCTTGTCAAAAAGTGTCGACATTTACACATCGGAACCCATAATTATAATGTAATAGATAATTTTATAATATAACTGCTATAAATATACCGGTTTTATGAGCGAATAGGTCTACAACCTATATCGACACTTTTTAATATTGTGTCGCTAATTTTAAGTAACGCGGTTTTTCTTCCTTCATTTAAAATATTTATATGTACATGTTTCTTATACACAATAGAAGTCATGTTGATACTTACGATATATGGAGATCGTTGTCATTCCATTCCGTCTTCGAAAAAATCAGTTGATGTAGGTTGTGTGCTTGTACTCAAACTGAGCTTGACTTGAGGACATGTTAGTTTGTTATGTCCCTCACCGTTGCAGTACCCACATCGCCTAATTTTCTTCTCGACCTTGTTCTTCGGCACTTCTTTTCGCTTGCGTTGTTTTCGTTGAGGGTCACGAACGTTGTTTACTACAATGCTCTGGTTGACTGAATCATTCAAACCAAACGAGTTTTCTAATTCTTCTATTAGTTTTTTCATCTCATCTCTTGCGGTTTTGAAAGACTCGTCTGTCTTTGATGCAATGTAGCATAACCTACTTGACGTTGAACGTAGAGCAACGAACCTTGCCATTTGCATCACTTCTGGAGACACATTCAAATCAACATAACTGGGTGCAGAAGCCTTCGCATCATTAGTCCACCTACTTTGAATCAAAGTCCCGGGAAAATATGTGTAGTCCAAGTGCTTCAAAATGTGAAGTTGATGGCGACACGGAAGTCCAACGGTCTCAAATTTTTTGCAGGAGCAAATTAGAGTTTTCGTACGAGAATCAATACTAATTTCAAATTTCCTATTTTTTTCTGCGTACTTTGACAAAATATAATGTTGACATTCATCTGATAAGGACTTAATCTCTCCCTCAATCCAGTACAATGTCTCCTGTATAAGTTCATCTTGGAACACACGAAAAGATTCACGGATAAAAATCGCAGCGGCATGGCTTTCAAGGTCGACCAGTTTTGTGATCTGAAAGGGCTTCGTATGGGAACTTAAGTAATCCGCTTTCAAATCGTTCATATGCATTCTACTAATTTCATCTTTAATTGCACGAATAACATCTAAATATGTCTTATTGTGTTTCAGTGCAATAGCTAGTGAAGCATTCATAGACTCGCACCTTTGTGTTGAGCGAATATTGGCAAAGAAATGACCGGTTAGATATGCTTGTGCCCATAAGTGTCGTGTATTTCCCTTCTCAATCACCCATGGATGCTTTTGGACGTTGAATTCTGAAACAACCGAACGCCATTGAATATCAAATTCCTTGGTTGTCCACCAGGAAGCCATGCATTTTGATAATGCTGCTGTAAACTTTGGGTCACCAATGTTAGCTTGTGCATTGCGAGAAAGATGCCAAGAACATAATATGTGCTTAGCATAAGGGATAACAGATTTGATAGCCCTCTGTATTGCCCTATCCCCATCGGTGTGACAATGAAATAGGTGATTTATTCATCATGGCTTCTAAAAAATTCTATAGCACCCACTCGAAAGATTGAGACGTCTCGTCAGCGATTATGGCGGTGGCAAACACAATTGTGTTATGGTGATGATTGACACCAACAATAGGCATAATTGGTCGACCATACAAATTATCTTTGTACGTTGTGTCGAACGCAATTACATCACCGAAGCATGTGTAATCCGATCTCGATGTAGAATCCGACCAAATAAGATTATACAATGCCCCCGATTCGTCTACCGAGTATGTCATAAAAAACCTGGGATCATCATGTTTCTTATAATCAAAGTAGGCAATAAGCGCATTCACATCCCCATCGACGATTTCCTTTGCTTTAACCTCTTTGAAGTGCATGTAGAGGTCTTTATGTGTAAATCCAACATTTATATAGCCCCCTGTCTGCTGCGTTAAATAGTTCATTACTTGTGACGTGCCAACACCGACCTCTTTCAATGTTGTTGCCTCATCGATATCAGCCTTACTTACAGCTCTATTAGAACGCATAAATGGTGTCATAGCAGGTGTGCACAATGCATGATTATGTTTCTGATCAGACTTACTTATAACCCACTGATCGTTTGTATTTGTTGCTGTAACTACGACTCTAGCCTTACATCCTGTTCTTGTGACTGGCGTATGAGCACGTTGACGATCAACAGTATTGACTTTTGATACTCGAAACCCTTCTTTGGAACAACAAAATTCTTGTGTCTTCATATTCCCTTCCACGTCAAGCCGTGTTGTTCCCTTATGTGCACTAAACCCATGTTCCCGTGCGAATCCCTTGTAAAAGTACCAAGCTTGATCACGTGAATAGAAGAGCTGACCAACCAATCTGTCAGATTCATCAATATTATGTACTTCATGGCATTCCTCGGTTGGCTTAACATTGTCTACATCAGTATTATCCATGGCAAGAATTTTGTTGTGCAAGTTCAGTGGTCCAGGAGTTGATGGAGATGTAAGCAAAGGTTCATTTTGAACATGTTTCAGTCGTGCTGCTTTCAATAGGATGTGGTATTGGTAGTGGTAGTTAAAGGGTGGGTACAACATTAAATTCACAGTACATATTTAGGTATGTACAATAACTACAAGTATCGACCCAAAAAACATCAAAACCAATAATTATAATGTAATAGGTAAATTAACAATGTAACAAGTATCGACCCAAATTAATATTATTTTATAAAATATCAAAACAATCAAATAATTTTTTGTGTAAATGAAATTATTAAATTAATATTGTAGGTGGAAAACATGAAACACTATTAAAAAAATTGAAACATAAATTACATAACTTTAAAAAAAGTATCGATCTTTTTTATAAAAAAGTATGGACACTTTCAATATAATAGGTAAAAATATGATGTAATAGGTAGCGCTTATATAATGTAATAGGTAGCGTTTATATAATGTAATAGGTAGTGCTTATATTGTAAAGTATCTATCCTTTTTATAAAACTGTCCATACTTATTTCACTGTGAAAAACATTAATTTAAGGTTATCTTTTGAGTGAGTTTTAAGGATCTTTTAAATGAAATTATTAAATTAATATTGTAGGTGGAAAACATGAAACACTATTAAAAAAATTGAAACATAAATTACATAACTTTAAAAAAAGTATCGATCATTTTTATAAAAAGTATGGACACTTTCAATATAATAGGTAAAAATATGATGTAATAGGTAGCGCTTATATAATGTAATAGGTAGCGTTTATATAATGTAATAGGTAGTGCTTATATTGTAAAGTATCTATCATTTTTATAAAAGTGTCCATACTTTTTTCATTGTGGAAAACATTAATTTAAGGTTATCTTTTGAGTGAGTTTTAAGATATTAATTTAGTAATTATAGGCGTCTAATGATTTATTTTTTACGTTACGATATATTATTATTAAATTAAAACAATAAACATATATATTACATATTTATTATTATCTTTGGTTAATATTATTAAATTTAAATTCTAAATATTATTTTATAAAATATCAAAACAATCAAATAATTTTTTGTGCAAATGAAATTATTAAATTAATATTGTAGGTGGAAAACATGAAACACTATTAAAAAAAATTGAAACATAAATTACATAACTTTAAAAAAAGTATCGATCATTTTTATAAAAAGTATAGACACTTTCAATATAATAGGTAAAAATATGATGTAATAGGTAGCGCTTATATAATGTAATAGGTAGCGTTTATATAATGTAATAGGTAGTGCTTATATTGTAAAGTATTTATCATTTTTATAAAAGTGTCCATACTTATTTCACTGTGGAAAACATTAATTTAAGGTTATCTTTTGAGTGGGTTTTAAGATATTAATTTAATAATTATATGTATCTAATGATTTATTTTTTATGTTACGGTATATATTATCATTAAATTAAAAATAATAAACATATATATTACATATTTATTATTATCTTTGGTTAATATTGTTAAATTTAAATTCTAAATATTATTTTATAAAATATCAAAATAATTAAATAATTTTTTGTGCAAATTAAATTATTAAATTAATATTTTAGGTGGAAAACATGAAACACTATTAAAAAATTGAAACATAAATTACATAACTTTAAAAAAAGTATCGATCATTTTTATAAAAAAGTATGAACACTTTCAACATATTATAATGTAATAGGTAAATTTGTAATGTTATCGGTATAAATATATTGGTTTACTTATAAAATAGGTCAATATAAGCACTATCTATTACATTATATAAGCGTTACCTAATATGTTATTGTACTTTATAATATTTCTGGTTAAATAATATAACATAACCGGTCTAAATTTTAACCGATCACTTATTTAATCAATCGCGTCGTACATTAACCGTTTTGTAGACGCCGCACCCGGTTTATGGCCTCAACCACCCCACCACAAATGAATCATATACTTCCCAACCTAACATAATCCTTATCCACACCAAATCCCACCAACCCGTGACGCTGATGTGGCCTGATACTACTGGACCTTCACTATGCCAATCAACATTGCACAAGTGAAAATATCACTTCCTCCCATTAAAAAAAATCATATCACCAACTCCGCTTCTTCGTTTCATATACCCACCTATTCCCATTCCCTTCTATTCCCATTCCCTTTTTTAATTAAAGAAACAAGCCAATCCATCGATACTCAAAATTCAATAAAAAAGTACAGAAATGAGTCTTCCTCTAATAGTCATCGCCATCGCCATTTTCCTAACGTACCAGCTTTACCGACGGCTGAGGTTCAAGCTACCGCCAGGTCCACGCCCGTGGCCCGTGGTCGGTAACCTTTACGATATAAAGCCTGTTAGGTTCCGGTGTTATGCGGAGTGGGCGCAGAAGTACGGTCCGATTATATCGGTTTGGTTCGGTTCGACTCTGAACGTGATCGTGTCGAATACGGAACTGGCTAGGGAAGTACTGAAGGAGCATGATCAACAGTTAGCTGATAGGCATCGGAGCAGATCGGCGGCGAAGTTTAGCAGAGACGGAAAGGATCTTATATGGGCTGATTACGGGCCTCATTACGTTAAGGTAAGGAAAGTGTGCACGCTGGAGCTTTTCTCTCCCAAGAGGCTTGAGGCTTTGAGACCTATAAGAGAAGATGAGGTTTCCGCCATGGTTGAATCCATCTTTCTCGACTCCACCAATCCTGGTATTAATATTTCTCTCCCTTCGTTATTTTGCATTTTTGAAGGTGAGTTGAATTGTTTCATTCTTTTCCTAAAGAGGTTTTATAACGCATTAGCAAAAACATAATAATATATATAGCTTATTAAAATGTATAGATTATTATTTAATAGAAGTTAAAATCACAATCGTTAAATTTTAATTCATGAGATATTTTTAATAAACTACGAGTTTTTCCAAAGCTATTTATTTAACTGTCTAAATTAATAGAGCAAGGCATTTAAGAGAAGAAACCCTCACTTTTTTCTTGATAATTCAAAATAAAATTTTAAAATTAAAAATTTAAGCTCTTAATTTATTTTAAGCTTTTATCTTTAAATTAAAATTTTAATAAAATCAGTTAAATCGTTAAGTTTCGGTTGAGGAAGTCTTGAATTAGGTGGATAATTATACCTGTTCTTTTTATTAAAAAAAGGTTAAGTAAATAAATATATCTTAAATAAAAAATAATATAATAATAGAGACAGGATGAGGGTGATCAACTACTTTCATTAGGCTTGAGTGTGTTTATTAACTGGGTAGGTGAACAACTTTTCTTTCCCTTGTTTACTACGTTAACAAATATATTTCACAAATGTCATTTTATTTTATCACCCTGGCTTTTCTGGATTTCTCTTCATATCTTGTGGAAATGGTTAAACTTGTCTGATCAACGAGTGAACTAAAATATTGGCTCCACATTGAATCCCTTGATGGTATTCTTTTATTCCTAACGTGGGTTTGCAAGTAAGTTCTGCTTAAGCTAATCTTGTGACATACAGAGTCAAGAAAATTTAAATTATAATGTAAAAAATTGGACTGGATGAGATAAATGATGGGTGTTGATTTTCTTTAAGGGGTGTCAATTATTTATAAATGGTGTTAGTTTTATTTTTAATAATTTTTTTAAATAATATTTATGAAGGATTTGAAATTTTTGGAGTGTCAAAGTGACACCCATGTAGCCCATGGTGGCATCCCAATAATATCTGAATGTTGGTTGAGCTTGACTTCAAATTTGGAAGCAGAGAGAAAGGACACAAGTTTGCAAGTAAGGAAATACTTGGGAGCAGTAGCATTCAACAACATAACACGACTAGCGTTCGGGAAGCGTTTCGTGAACTCTGAGGGCATAATGGACGAGCAAGGCAAAGAATTCAAGGCCATTGTGGCGAATGGGCTTAAGCTGGGTGCATCACTCGCCATGGCTGAACACATTCCGTGGCTTCGATGGATGTTTCCGTTGGAAGAGGAGGCATTCGCCAAGCACGGGGCACGAAGGGACCGGCTCACCCGAGCTATCATGGAGGAGCACACTCTTGCCCGTCAGAAGAGCGGTGGTGCCAAGCAGCATTTTGTTGATGCTTTGCTTACATTGCAAGACAAGTACGACCTTAGCGAGGACACTATTATTGGACTTCTTTGGGTAAGCATGTTTATATTTTGGAGATTATTATTATTAAGTTAGGGTCAGTAGCCATCAAGCAAGGTCAACTCTTACAAGTAATTGAAATATGCAGGACATGATCACTGCAGGCATGGACACAACAGCAATCTCAGTCGAGTGGGCAATGGCGGAGCTCGTTCGGAACCCAAGAGTGCAGCAAAAGGCACAAGAGGAGCTAGATCGTGTGATAGGATTCGAAAGGGTGATGTCCGAAACCGATTTCTCAAATCTCCCGTACCTTCAAAGCGTACCCAAGGAGGCACTAAGACTACATCCCCCAACTCCTCTAATGCTACCCCATCGTGCCAATGCCAATGTCAAAATCGGTGGCTACGACATCCCCAAGGGATCAAACGTGCACGTTAACGTATGGGCAGTAGCCCGTGATCCAGCAGTCTGGAAGGACCCCGAAGAGTTCCGCCCAGAACGATTCCTGCAAGACGACGTCGATATGAAGGGTCATGATTTTCGATTGCTTCCATTCGGTGCAGGAAGGAGGGTATGCCCCGGTGCACAACTTGGGATCAACCTGGTCACGTCCATGTTGGGTCACTTGTTGCACCATTTTTGTTGGACACCAGCCGAGGGAGTCAAGGCTGAGGAAATTGACATGCTTGAAAATCCAGGCCTGGTTGCTTATATGCGGACTCCATTGCAGGCTATTGCCACTCCTAGGCTGCCTTCTCATCTGTACAAACGAGTGGCTTCGGATATCTAAGTTTTCTTCTTAATTCCTATTTCTTATTGCCATTATCCTTAGTTTTTCAACTCCTTTTACAAGTTCTGTTGTATCCAAGTTTCCTTCTCATGCGATTTGTGATCGGTCGCGTGTCAGAGGACTAAATAAAAAAACGCAATGATATAATGAATTATACTACAAATTTTCCTACGCTAGAATCCTGTTTCTTAGATGACACATGTCCGTTCTTAACCTAACCCATTAAATCCAAAAATTGTCAATCAGGGATTTGAATGCTATCAAAATTAAAACAAACAAGCAATCGAAACTTCTCTACATTTGTTTTTCTTTATTATTTTTTAAGCGTAATTGGATATCTAAAACCTTCGCCCCTTTTTATCTTAAAAGCGACTGCAACTCTTTTTATCTTACATTATGTTTGAATTATAAGTATAAAATTAAATATATGAAAATTAAAATATAAAATTAAATCTATAATTTTCACATAACGCAGAGTTAATTAAAAGTTTAACCTACCATGCTATGTTAAACATTCAAATAATACGACTTAAAGAAAGGATAAACTACACGTTTAGTATTCACCTATCACTTTTACTCCGTTTGTCATCCAATTATTTTTTTCATAATGATACCTAATATTATGTTTTAGTTTCATTCCATTGTTAAAAGGTTAACAAAAATATTAATGTGATATTTTTTTTATTTTTTTATAATAATTTGAAATTAATTTATGGTGATGTGTTAACATTATCATTAATTTTTTAATGCCAGGTGACCAAGATAAAACTAAAACTAAATGTTAGTTATGATTTAAAAAAAAAGTTTGGTGACTGAAACGGAACAAAAGTGATAGTTGGGTACTAAAAATATAGTTTACCCTAAAAAAAGTGATGGCATAAGCTCTCCGGATACTGGATCATAAAACAGCAGCAACCAAAGACAAACGGAGAAGTGTCCGACAGTTAAGCTGTTGCCACGCAGATTTGGGAAATTTCTATAGAAGCTGCTGTAGCCGGGAAACTTCCCAAATCCCAAATCCCATCTCTCTTATTGGGGGTTTCCCGCTGGAAAATTAGTGGACGGAAAATGGGCTTAGACATAGTGGAGCCAAACACTTGCGTTAGAGGTTGCTGCTCCAGCAATTCAATCCCTCTTCACCTTCCTCCTTCCTTCACTCTTCTCTCCCCTATTTCCAGGGGTAACTTTATCTTCTCTTCTCTTCTCTTATCTTCTCTTCCTTGCCCTTACTTTGTACGCAGAATTTACTCATCTGTTGTATTTTTTTTTGTTGATAGGGGCTGAAAGCGTTGATTACGAAGCAATTTTGGATGGAAAGAGAGTTGCTGCTAGGAAGCCAATCCTGTCTACCTCGGAGGAGTTGGATAAATTTCACAAGGAATCGCAGCTCCTTTGCCAGCTAGACCATCCTGGCATTGCTACCCTCGTCGCCGCGCATGCCAAGCCACCCAATTATATGTTTTTTCTTCGAATTCTATAAACAAACCAATCTGGCTCATAAGTTACACGTGCAAGAATGGATTCCCAATCTTGATCCTCCAATTAGGTATATCTTCATTCTCCATTATTAAAAAAACTTGATAATAACGCTTGCTGCTTCTACTGCTAAACTTTGGTTTGGATTCAATTTTCAATTCAGCTGAGTCCTGATAATAAGCTTGGAGATATTAAGATTATATTGACATAGCTTGGTCAGCAGTGAATTGCTTTAGGTGCTAGGATGTTTCATTGAATGAGAGTTTGTGTTGTTTCATGCTTTTGATTTTACCTGAAACTTTGGTTTCTCTGTATAGTTTATGTGGGGTGTTCAGGGGTCTATTAAAAGTACTTTTTTCTGTTTATACGAAGAAATGGATATTTGGCTTTGGATCTGAAACTATGCTAGAAACATAAATGCTTGGTTTCAGAGATCATAAATTACTAAAATTTCCTTTTTAATGATGTTACATCTTGAGGTCTTTCTGTTGTTTTTTTTCCCAGCGGAGGCTTTGCAATATCTGCATAACAAAGGAATCATTCATAGAGATGTGAAGCCAGCAAATGTTCTTTTTATTATATTCTGATCTCTTTAGTTGTCCTTATTATCTGGTTGGTGTTAGATACTATTAGAAAAAGGATTTTAATTGATTGACTTTTGAGCTTAAAGTTATATTACACCGCTAATGCATAAGCAGCTTGACAGAAACTTTTCTGCACACCTAGCTGACTTTGGTTTGGCAGAGTATAAGAAGGATCTCAGAAGAGTCTCTATCGAGAATTGGAGATCATCAGGTAAGCCAACAGGTGGTTTTCACACAAAAAAATACGGTTGGAACTCTTATTTACATGGCCCCTGAGATATTGATGAAGGAGATACATACTGAAAAATCAGATGTCTACAGCTTTGGAGTGTCCATCCAGTAAGAATAAGGATTCTTGAAGCTTCTGTTAGCAATGTATTGTTTATATAGTTTATGAATAAGGTTTCTTGCTATGTTAACATACAATATAGATTGCACATTTACCTAATTTCATAATATGCTCATAGGCTAGTTAGCTGTTAATCTAAAATGCTAAGATTTTCTTTTATGGTGCAATGGAAGTATCTACAATATTTCATATTGGGTTTAAAAACATTTTGGTCCTTTGCGTTGTGGTAAAAATTTATTTCAGTACTAATCTCTTAATGTTTCTATTGAAGTGCCAGAATTGTTAGAATTTAACCCTTGCATTGTAGTAAATATTTTGGTATCTTTGCTGGATTTTGTGATGTGAAAATTTAGATCTCGTGAAATCAATGTTGAATACGTTGCTTGGAATCGGGGGTGAGTTGAATAGAGAAATGTGTTTAACACATGTATGTTCATTTTTCTAAGTTTTTTCATATATTTAGGTGTACCTTGGTACCCATGTCCAGTGGATATGTTTTCAACATAGGTACTCCATGGAAACTGAAGAGTTGGATCAAGATAGTGAAAACATACCCTAATAACTGCCCTTACAAGTTGAATCTATTTTTTTATCATTGTTCTTTCATCTTTACTTTTATGGTATGCACACTGTCTCTATCTGTGTGTGTGTGTTTTTTTTTTACTGTCATTGCCTCCAGTAGGCACTGGACACATAAATGTCTCATATGCAGAGACATCCCTGCTTCCCAAAGCCCTACAACAATAGCATATTAGGTGAATCACTGGATCTGGTTTTGCCTGGGTACTATAATTAGCTCTTACAGTAACTGTTAAGTGATTCCACCTTGAGCTAGATTTCAATGCCCTAGCATGGTTAATCATGTTTTGCTTATGCATTATGGAGTAATGTTTCCCTGTTTGTCATTTGAATTCAATAGTCGATAAATTGCAGTAAAACATTAGGCTATAGTTAATCTAGTTCTTTTGCAGCTCTGTAGGGCTATAACCATGAAACTTGATTTCCATTTAATTGCAGTGAACTGCTAACCGGCATTGTCCCATACACTGATATCCGTGCTGAAGCTCAGGTCAGTCTTTTCTTGAGTATTTTTATCTTTTTTTGTTGATAAGTGATATTGGGCAGTACCAGACTAAGTTGCATTTGCATGTGCTTAACAAGAAAAATTTCAATCTCCAAGAGATAGCTTATTGTTTGATGCTTAGATTACCTATTGCTGTTGGTACTTAAACCAAAAGTACTGAAAAACAAAAACTCAAGGTTGGATATATTTTTCTACATGATGCAGGCCTTATTGACCTCAAATGGGTAACTTATATAGTTGAATCTGACCAATACAAACGGTGAATTACGGTCTGGTTGAGTTCATACCTCCCTCATTTCTATTTAACTTGCTCAAATCTGGTCAAACCCACTAATCTTGCTGAATTTTGTTGAACACAAATGGTTTGCTCATTCCTACTGACCTGCATATGTTATTTGTTAGTATTATACTGAAGAGATCTTTTTAAGATGAATGTGGATGGGCTTTTAGTAGAGTTGGGAGGGTTGCTGGAATTGGGGGTTCTCAGGGATTGGAATCGGGTTACACTTATGTCTTTTTCAGAAAATGTTGGTCCTACTCCTCCCTATCTTGCAGAACTGAAAGCTATCAAAAAAGGCCTTGACATCTTTGTTTCTTCAGAATGGTTGTCGAAGGGCAGGCTTATTATTGAAAGTGATTGTAAGCTTGTAGTGGATTGGATCAAAGACCAAGCTTTAGTTCCTGTTTTCCTTACAAATTTTGTTAAGGAAATTGTGTCTATTATTTCTGTTAGAGATTTTATTGTTAGGTGGATTCCAAGATGTTGTAATTGCGAGGCTGACAAGTTAGCAAAGGAGGGGATTGGGTGATTTTGCATTCTGTTTTCAGTTGGGGATTGTTTTACAGATATGTGCTATAGGAGTGTGTGATGTCTTATGTTGTTTGTAAAAGTGTATTTAAGTCTTATGTAATTCGGCTAACATTAATAAATTGAGGTACTCTTTTCCTCCTTCCGCTAGTTGGTTCTTACCTTAGGGCAAAGAACCACTAAGAGGGAGGTTTTTAATGAGACCTCCTATTCCTATAAAAAAAATACTGAAGAGATCTCGGATTAGGTTGCATATTATTATCTTAATAAATCTGTCAGTCACCTTGCTGGATTAATCTGTGGCCCAAGTAACAAGGGAAATTGTTCAGACATTAGTCTTTACAGAGAATATCTAGGCTTGACTGCCGGAGGTCTTCCACGGAAACTACTCTCAACCTGGCGTTGGGGGCAGCCTACTACCCTACCTCCCCCTTACCCCATTGCATATGGGAATTGGGTTTTGTTGTTGTTGTTGTTGTTGTTGTAGAGAATATCTAGGCTGTGCTCAAGGAAAGCTCATTTCAACATAAGTTTGTTTACTTGGAGATTAATGGGAAAAGGGGCAAATAAAATTTATTCTATTAATGTTGGAGTTTCTGGTGCCTGAAGAAGTCTCCTCATTGGCCAATTCAATATAATCATCTATTTGTTAAGGATAATTTTACTGTCATTTTGTGCTTTCAGAGGACAAATTGCTTCCTCTTTTCTTGCTACAATGCTTACACTGTGCCAGGCAGCAAAACCAAATATAAGCTGCTTCCACCTCAGAGCTACCTGCTTCAGGTAGCAGTCAAAATTAATTAGCGGGGTGAACAAACTTTAAAAGACAGTTTGAGGAATTTT